TATCTTAAATACTTAATTTATTGTCCAACACCAGGATGTTGGATTATATTATATAAGTGTGTTTGCATGTCATATTCTTGTGGGGCCTCTATGTTCGTGGGGATCCCTATGCTCGTGGGGTCCCAGGGCAAGTCCCCATCGGGACCATCCGGTAAGATGGTTCTGCATTAAAATGAACCCCTGTGGTATCCCACTTACCATATTTTTCTAATCAGATTCATTCCCAGTTAGCACCACTCTTTGTCATCCACACGAAGAGTATTGGATCCAATACCGCTCACATGGTTGGTATAAGGTCCACTATTATTCACTGGATGGGTATGGGGTCCACTACCACCCACAGGAATGAGTTTGGGGACTACTATCATCTACAGGATTGGTTTGGGGACCATTATCATCCACATGATGGGTATGTGGTCAAACATCATCCACAGGATGGGTTTGGGAACCAATATCATCCACAGGATGAGAATGGGGTCCACTACCGCCAACACAATGCTTATGGGGTTCACTATCATCCACAGGAAGAGTATGTGGTCCACTACCGTCCACAGGATGTGTATGGCGTTCACAACCACCCACAGAATAGGTATGGAGTCCATTACCGCCCATAGGATACGGTTGGGGTCCACAACAGCCTGCAGGTTGAGTATCGGTATGTGGTTTGTGGTTGTGGTCACGTGGTAGGGTATGTATAGATAGAGCTAGTATATACAATGCCTAAAGCCACTATTACGCAAAGTGTTTCGGGCAGGAAAAACACTAAGACTAAAACTTAATACTAAAAGAGATTAAAGTATAAATTGTGTTGAGAAAAAATAAGAAAAAAATGGAAAAGAGGGAGGGGGGGGGGGTGAAACATGGCAGAAAAAAAGTAAAATACAATTTGGTCAACAAACAGCATTGTTTTAAATAGAAGAGATGGGTTGACATTTTGGGGGTGAGGTAGGTTACATTGAGTTAATTAGCTGGTACTTAGTTTTTAACTTAAACTGGTTGGGAGAGGTACAGTCTTTAACATAATTGGGAAGGCCACATTCGAGATCCCTTGATTTGTAAAGCATTTCTAGTTTAACTAAGTCGTACTCTTGGAATATCAATAGGTATTTGTTTCTGGTGTGGTGCTCATGGGATCTGTTACAACCTTCTAGGAAGCTTATTATAAAAAACATAATGATAAAAACAACATGCTGCATACTAAAAACGTATTAGAATGTGTATACCAATATGCAGTAAAATATATTCTTCCTACACATAACAAGCAAAACTTTAATACTGCAACAAGTTTTTGAAAATTATTTAACTAAACAGCAATGAAACATTTGCATTCTTTTCAATTAGTAAAATATTACATATGAAGGAATTATTTACATAAATGCCGAGAAAACTTTACATACCATGCCCAAATCTAGGATCTTCTTCTTGATAGTAGGTGCAGTTTGCATGAAGGATTTGTTCTCCCGATGACTGCAAAATCTAGGATCACGTGTGTTATTGTTTTTGAACGAATGATCACATGTTTACATTCATTGCGATGAAACTAATAACTTTAAATATATACAGCTTTTATATCAACTGTTTTACTTAAATTATTTTCTGTTATAGGTTCTAAATACAGTATAACTAATATTTGCCTTTTCTTATGCCATTTGTAATTAATGTCATAAAGCTTTATCATCTGAATGCACCAAACTGTGCCTTTTCATATTTCCAAACTGAAGTCGAACACCCGAAAATGAATATTTCCATGAAAACTGAATCACGTCCTACTATTTGGAGAATTGTTAGTTCTTTTTCATACTAATATGTTAGTTTGTGTCATATAAGTATTCATCCCGATGGTTGGTAATATTGGATGGTTGGAAACAGAAGGATAAAGTCAAACATCTGTTAACTTTTCTTTTAAAGTACTGTATAGCTGGAAAATATCAGGCAAACCTTCGACAATCTGCCGATTTCCTTTCCTCTTCAAGGCTACTATTGTTAGTGTCTGTCACGGTAAACCTATGTAAAATCGGAAAATTTGTTCAACAGGACCCTGCACTAGAATTGATGTTGGGAGACGCTCTGCTTCGTAGCTGATGGATTAATATTTGACTGTTGGTCAGGACTTGAGCATTGTTAATTACAGTTACACTCTGTTGGAGCACTAGACGGTCAATGGTCGTCGTTCTTCTTTATGATAGGTTCAGTTTATTGTTAGTCACGGGAGACATCTCCGTCAGGCAGGGTGCGATCGCACCTCCGTACAGATCTCCAGTATCATCTACTGATACTGTAATGGCTCAGAGAGGGCATCCACTTACGGGCTATTCATGGCTGTGCCACCTTTTGGGTGGCTTAATCTTCATCAATCACCAATCAATCAATCTATTGTTTAGTGGCCAGTATTATTCAGTTTATTGGCCAGTGCGTTGGCTTCAGTTCTCATTGACGAACGAGCAAAAATTAGAAGGATTTAAATCGAATATAAATAGTTATCTCATTCCTTCTTTCCTTTGAATGTCAGTGACTGTGCTTCTGCTATGCTTAATTGCCTCAAAAGCGTCCAATTTTCATGATACCTAAATTATAAAGGCAAAATTTGGGCCGAGTATACATGTATAAGCAAAATTGACTGAGTATCCGCAAAATTAAGAAAAGAAAACAGCCCACCCATTACATTAAAGAAAACGTATTCCTCGTTTCGGGGAGAATATTCTAGGGAGGCCAGCCGGTAACTGGAACAGCCGGTAAGTGCATTTATGTACTAAATACGTAAGTATGAAAATGTACTTATTACACTTAGTATTAAAACGTACTGTCTATTCGGAGGATGGGTTGGTGGTAGAGTATGTAGCTATGGGCCAGTGTAGAGTATGTAGCTATGGTCCAGTGGTAAAGTATGTTATCTATGGTCCAGTGGTAGAGTTATGTAGCTATGGTCAGTGGTAGAGTATGTAGCTATGGTCCCAGTTGGTAGATATGTATGTAGCTGGGTCCATGGTAGAGTATGTAGCTAGGGCCAGTTGTAGAGTATGTAGCTGGTCCAGTGGTAGAGTATTAGCTATGGGCCAGTGGTAGAGTATGTAGCTATGGCCGTGGTAGAGTATTTAGCTATGTCCACCAGTGGGAGAGTAGTAGCTATGGTCCAGTGGTAGAGTATGTAGCTATGATCCAGTGGTATAGTATGAAGCTATGGTCCCAGTTGTAGAATGGTATGTAGCTATGGTCCAGTGGTAGAGTATGTAGCTATGGTCCAGTGGTAGAGTATGTAGCTATGGTCCAGTGGTAGAGTATGTAGCTAGGTAGCCAGTGGTAGAGTATGTAGCTATGGTCCAGTGGTTAGAGTATGTAGCTATGGTCCAGTGGTAGAGTATGTAGCTATGGTCCAGTGGGTAGAGTATTAGCTATGGTCCAGTGGTTGAGTATGTAGCTATGGTCCAGTGGTAGAGTAGGGTCCATGGTAGCTATGGTCCAAGTGGTTAGCGTATGTAGGCTATGGTCCAGTGGTAGAGTATGTAGCTATGGTCCAGTGGTATAGTATTAGCTATGGTTGGTAAAAATGGGTTCCCACCCCCAGTGGTAGAGTATGTAGCTAGGGTCCAGTTGGTAGTATGTAAGCTATGGTTCCAGTGGTATAGTATGTAGCTATGTCCAGTGGTAGAGTTAATGTAGCTATGGTCCAGTGGTATAGTAATGTATCTATGGTCCAGTGTAGAGTATGTAGCTAATGGTCCAGTGTTAGAGTTATGTCCAGTGTATATGTCCGTGGGTAGAGTATGTAGCTATGGTCCAGTGGTAGAGTATTAGCTATGGTCCAGTGGGTACTATAAGTGTAGCTATGGTCCAGTGGTAGAGTATGTAGCTATGGTCCAGTGGTAATGTATGTAGCTATGGTCCAGTGGGTAAGTTATGGTACCAGTTCCAGTGGTAGAGTATGTAGCTATGGTCCAGTGGTAGAGTATGTAGCTATGGTCCAGTGGTAGAGTATGTTAGTCTATGATCCAGTGGTAGAGTACTATGGTCCAGCTATGTTCCTGGTGGGAGAGTAATGTAGCTATTTGTCTATGCTGGTAGAGTATGTAGCTATGGTCCGTGGTAGAGTATGTAGCTATGGTCCAGTGGTAGAGATGAAGCTATGGTCCAGAGTGGTAGAGTATGTAGCTATGGTCCAGTGGTAGAGTATGTAGCTATGGTCCAGTGGTAGAGTATGTAGCTATAGTGTTACATGAAGGGAAAGAATCACATTGTAATTCTTGAATATACTCGGATAGTTTGCCCCTTTTCTTTTTGTAGTACTGTAACCATGTTATCATTTCTTGAATGGTTAGTGATTCCTCCTCTCTACATCTCTTCTGGAGCTCAAACTTTTCCACTGCACTTCTTTTTTCAGTCAGGGCACTATAATGCAAATGAAAATACAGTATGTGATTGACAAATTATAATAATGGGAATCATTTGTGAATTAAACATCATTAAAATTGTATCTATAAAATTTACCTTTAGAAAACAAACTCAATTTAATAGTATTGCAGTCTTTCCATATAAAAATAGTATATTAATACAAATAATATATAAATATTTGAAAATGCTGAGAAAACTAATGAATCATTAGATCTTGTGTAAATACCACTTGTGTTTTGATGAAGCAATAAATTGTGCCATGGAAGGATGCCAGTTAAAACATCTGCTTCAGACAAATCCGGATGGTTCTGATTGTAGATTTTTATGAGATCTCGTAGTTTTTTTTTCTCAACTTCATTTTTGTTTCTCAATACAGCTCTCATTTAGATGAAACTGTAAAGTTTCAGGTTGTTATCAAATATTGATTGCACCAATAGTATTTTACATAGAAAAACTAATTTAACAACTGTGTACTGTATTAATGTTTAGGTTTCAGTGAACAACCAAAAAAGCAATTAATGTCTACCTGCTAAGTGGTAATCTGATTTTTGCGATGCCTTATATTCTCTCCATATGCCTCGATAGTATGCTCAATGTTATTGGCAGAGGATCTGTATTTAAGGATCTTGCAATGATCAGTAATTCTGATCTCCATTTCTCAATAACAGATTCTGGGACATTAAGCCTGTGAATCTCATTTGAAACTGCTGCAGCTGTCTCTGTGGCCTATTTAAAAATAAATGCCATCATATTTATTGTAAAATTTATGTCAGAGTTAAACGAAGTCTTTTGAACTATCCTTAGTGCTTTGTCAAGGTCTGAGTATGTGTTTTTTTTCAGATTCAGACCTTGACAAAGCACCAAGGAGTGTGTGAAAGACTTGGTGTAATTCTTTACATAAATTTCCCAAATACACAAGTGGGTTTTTTATTCCAATTTTACTTTGTCTATGAGAAGAAAATACCATTAGTGTCTTATAATAAGATTAAAGATAATAAAAACATGTATATACACTTGATTCATTGTTATAGAACAATTGCATATTATATATAATTCTATATTTTCATTGTATAGAACAATTCATTGTTAATACCTTTCTGAATCTGGCAACTAATGCCCGAGGCATTCCATTAATTTTTCTGTGATTCCAAAAGAGTGCCCCCTCTGTCAGTTCTTCTGTACGCTCTGTGGAAATAAATTTAGTTATTCATTGACATCTTAATACTGTGTGTCTCAAAATACTGATTGGAAAGTAAAAAAAAAGGATGATGATATTGATGCTGTCTTAAGTGGAATGAATTAATTGTTATTTCAGAGGAAACAAGAACTCAAAAACAGTGGTAGAGTAATAAGATTAAAATATCAGGGATGTTAAAGAAAGCATAAAAAACAGGGACAACTTGATTTTCAAACAAGGATTATACATGTATATGTTGGTTGCATATGAGTATAATGCTACTTTATGTATGAGCCAAAATGCCTTTCTGCAATTTCCTATATTCTTATATTACTGTATTTTATAACATTATCTGGATATATATAACCATCAAATATTACCATTGTACTGATTTGATTGAAAGGTACAAAATTTAGAACTAGATTAAACAAAAATTAACACATACCAGCTTTAAGCATGTTCTAGTGTTGTTGTTATATCTTGAAAGGTAGGAAAATACTTGCTCTGCCTCCTCCCAGATGTCAGGCCACTTCCTCTTGCCACCGCCCTCCATACAAAACCTTTGACATAATAGCATAACGTTTGTTAAAAACTACCTACTGTATTAACAATTTGCATTTAACATAGATAAATCCTTACATATAAGAATTTAAAAGAAATTATATTTTCCAACTACAGTAAAACGAAGTCAAAATTATTATTACAGTATTAGATTATTTACCTGACAATACCAGAATGTCCTTTGGCATGTAGGACTCCTAAAAAAAGGCTTTCCTTGCCTAAGTGAGAACTTCTGTTCTCTTGATGAAATCATTAAGGCCCATGGCCAGTATTTACAGATGATATCCTGGCATATGAAGGACACATTTTGTAAACGGCTCATTTGCAAATAGTGGGCATAACTGTAGAGCTCTCCCTGATACATATTAATGCAGCAAGAATAATTCCATGTCGACAGGAAGCCATGCTTATGCCAGTTTCATCCAACTTCTAAATGAAACAGGTTTATTTTTGGCAGCTTTCAATGTCGACACTCCACACATATGGCTACTCTGTTGGACAAAAGTAAAATTATAATATATATATATATATATATATATATATATATATATATATATATATATATATATATATATATAATATATATATCTATATTAGTCATATATAAATGTAATTTTTTTTATGTAATATTTTTCATCATTCAATATGCATTCCATATATTTTATAGAGATTTTTTGAACATGATATAGTTAGGAACCGTCCAATTAATATACATTATTGATAATGTCCTCAAGCTAATATATAAAGGTACTCTTCAATATTGTATGGGTAAAACCTGGTATTAGGTCTTAGGTTTCTATTTGAAAACCTATTTTTAGGCTTTCGAACAGATGTAAAAATATTCTTAATTGAGTTTTAAGGTTCTGAATAGTGGAAACGTGATCTTGAACTTCTTTGTCACAAGCGAAGATACCACCAGAATAATATGAGTTTCTGATCCCTCTGGAATGATATTAAATTAATGAATTGTTCATAGTGTGAGACATTTTGATGACATTTAAACATCATTTCATTAAAACTAATTCAACTACCCAAGCTGGCATTCACATCATAATCCCTCCTATTCTAAATGAATGTATATGGTGAAATAAATATTTTTTAATTAGTAAAGCCTTAGTCCAAATAAAAAATTCAACTGAAGTTGAAAGGCAAGTAATAAAGGTGTATCAGTTAACAATTAAAAAAACCAGCGTTGAATGTAATGAAACGCCATTTTCTGGGTGAGACCCGGAGGCTCCCCGGAGCTTTACCGGCTGATATGCTAATGTCAGACTTTGGCATCAGTCATGTGTATGGAGTTCTAGGGCCTACCGGGGACCACGAGCCAGAACCTGGCCCCCTCAGAGAGGCAAGGGGAGCAATGGCCTATAGAAACCCCCGTGTGGTTGGAAGCATTCTATGTCTGCCATCGACCGGGTCAAGCATCCAGAAAGGTAAGCATTCCAAAACAAACCCCTATTCTGGTGAAAATTGCTACCTAAGTGAATAGAACTCTTCAACAGAAAACAAGGAAACTAGTGTGACGTCATACGTCACCGCGCCGCTGTCTGCGCAGCTCCCCCCTCCCCGGGAGGGGGAAGGGGGAGCCCCAGACCTCCCACGCCGGCTATCCACCCATCAGTTCTGAGGCTGGATGTCAAAACACGCGAAAAACGCCGACCGGAGGGAGGGAGGGTTGCCGGGGAGCCTCCGGGTCTCACCCAGAAAATGGCGTTTCATTACATTCAACGCTGGTTTTCTGGGGGGAGCCCCGTCGGCTCCCCGGAGCTAACTACCCACAGAGGAAGGTCAAAGGGACAAAACCGGGAGGCGGACACCACGCACCCCTCAAGGAGGCGAGACAACCGGCAGCAAACGCCAACCCAAGGCGCCACAGCCCCGAAAATCCCGGGAACACGAGAACCACGAGCAGCAAGGCCCCTGCACGAACACCAAAAATCCATGCCCGAAAGACTGCAAGGCCACGTCGCCCAGACGGCAGCGAGAGCAGCGAAGCCACGAACGCCACAGGCATGAGGGAAGAACACAGGCAGCTTAGCCGCAAGAACACGGCTGACCACCCGGGACACCATCACCCGCGAATCGGGAAGAACAGAACCGGATCAACGCAAAACGCGCTCCGGACCCAAACGCCGTGGCACGCAAACAACAGCAGAGGGCCGCCACTGAACACAAAAACGACACACCCCCGGCCCGACCAACGAAGCACCAACAAACCCTGGACCCCTCCAGAATGCAGCAGCCCCACCCCGCGCCAGAAAAGATGGAGACTGCTGCCATCAAACAACCAAAACGCTAAAACCGAAGGAGCAAGAAAACACAGCGAACCGATCCCCAGAGGCAAAGGCCCAAAGGAAAGAGCCGACGAAAAAACACACCGGAACGAAGGGGCACTACCAACCGAGGAGAAGACAGAGCACGCTGACCAGAGACCAGGATGGTGCAAGCGGCGCACGAACAGGCCGGAGGTGAAATGACGCACAAGACAGCTGACTAACGGTGCAGAAGCAACACCAAGACCGAAAGCAAGCTGAAGCGGCTCCGCCTGCGCCGCACGAAAAGAGGCGACAGTATGTGGCAAGACGACGGCCCCCAACCCCCACTAGAAAACCAAGCCGAGAGTAAACCAAGCTAACAAGAGGAACCACCTAAGATGGGACAGGAAAAGGAAGGACCGCCAAAATACCCCATACTGCCGCCAAGAGAAGCACGCAGGTGGGACACCAACCACGAAGCCACCCGACCACCAACCGGAGGCGAGACCACGAGGCAGAACATAAGCAGCCCCGACAAGGCCCCCCCCGAGCCCAGGAAAAAGGCGGAGCCGCGAGAAGATCTCGGGCGCGACCACCGAAACCCAGGCGGCACAAGGAGATGGAATGTCTGCCGAACAGAAAAAACTCCCCGAAGCATGCAAGCCCGCCAGGAGTTCAGAAACGACGGGTCCGACGCGAGACATCGCAAGAACCCCCCCCCAAAAAAAAATAAAACAACAACAACCGGCAGGGCAAGATAGAAAAACCAAAGAAGGCGGAAGGGTCGCCGCCAGAACAGGACCCGAACCAAGGGGCACGAACAACTGCAACAGACCGAGACAAAGAAGCACATCACAGGACACAGGCTGACCAACGCCTAAGAACACACGCAGAACATCCCTGCTGCAGAAGAGGCAGGAGGAAAGAGCAGAAGCACAAAAAAAAAAAAAAACAGGAGAACAACCAGGGGTGGACAATCAGGCAGGGACAAAAACCCCACGCAATCCCCAGGCACAAAACGGCAGCAAAGTGCCACTCCACAACCGGACACAGGAACAAGGACACGCCACCGTGAAACACGGTACCAATGCACACGTGCAGCAGCAGCAGCAACAGGCACCACTGCAACATGCAACATGTAAATAGCAACTCCCCTCTGCAAAGGCAGAGAACGGAGCAGGCAGACCCCAGACAGGGCCAACGGAGACACGACAAAACCCTGCAGGCCCAGAAACCTGCACCAGGTGACCGACGGCGGAGAAACCCCGCTCGATACCTGCTGGATGAGGTACTGGGAGCTCTTTTACACCTCAAGCCCGGCCCAAGGTCAGGCCAGACCGGCCAGAGGATGGCCCACCAGGCAGCTGCTAGGAGCAGTCCACCGGCCCACATACCCCCACAACCAGGACGGGCCGGAACTGCCATACGAAAACAGGCCAGTGCGCCCTGGAAGTCCACGGACGAACCAGCAAGAAGGCTTATGCTCGCAAGTAGGTCGTGTAACAAGCACAGACCACTGATGGTAATACAGTGTTCCCCAAAAGTGCCAATAGCACCACTGCACTCCACTGGTACTATCCCGCAAGTTCTACCAGATAGGCGGGACCCAAGAGCCAGAGCTCAAATCCTGCAAGCACAGCCAGGAGCCTCACCAGGTGAGTACAGAACCAACCCTACAACCCCCACACCTCACAACATTAAAAAAGGAGGGTCCCCTGAATGACTCCAGCATAGGTTGGACATGCACATGAGGGGGACAGGAAGGGGTGATAAAGGGACAGTCACTGGTGTGCGAACGGTCTCAGTCGTACAAAAATATACCTAAATAAAGACAGGTATAGGAACACCGCCGCATCCAGCGCCCGGCCAAAAGACGCCAGACCGCAGAAACTCACCTGGCGAATGGTGGCTCGAACTTGACACGACTCAACCGCTCCCAGAAGAACTTGGGAGCACCGCCAGGTGAAGACGCCAGAGCCGGACCCTGCCGGACCCGCAGGAGAACAGGGAGAGGCGAAGGAGGCGGTCCACACCCATGACACAGGGAAAACCGCGGTGTCCTCCCCACAACTGGGAACCAGGACACCCCCGGCGCAAAGGGGCACATACCGCAGCCAGGGAGAAGAACGAGAGGCGAAGCACTGTAGCAAAAAAGGGCGCAAAACCCCAGCACTGAACCACCGCCCAGACCAAAACAAACTCCACGGCGCATGCGCATAACACGCTGGCCGAACCGCACACCCTCCCTGCGGGAAGGCGCCAGCCAGGACTATTGCACGAGAAAAGGAGCCAAAAGAGGAAGCAGGAACAATAAAACCGGCCAAAGAAGCCAAGAGCCCAAAAAAAGGGAACCCAAACGGGCGACAAGTAGCCCAACCGGGCGACAAGTAGCCCAACCGGGCGACAAGTAGCCCAACAGGGCGACAAGTAGCCCAACAGGGCGACAAGTAGCCCAACAGGGCGACAAGTAGCCCAACAGGGCGACAAGTAGCCCAACAGGGCGACAAGTAGCCCAACAGGGCGACAAGTAGCCCAACAGGGCGACAAGTAGCCCAACAGGGCGACAAGTACTAGGAGCCGACAGACGTTCCAATAATGCGGGAA